AAGACATTTACTTGTGAGGTTAACGTCAAATGAAAACAACTTACTGTTAAACCAAGTGCACATTTTTACTTTTTTCCATTTATTTCACAAAAGTTAATAGTTGTATTTGTAGATTTTCCCTGAACTTACAAGTTTTCATCACGTTATGATCCTCATTGTTATTTTAAAGTTTCTCAACAGCTACCCACAGAGTTTATCTTGTCCCAAGAATTAAACTATTCGTGTAACAAAACTGAAAATATTTTTATGCTATTATTACTGTTCATTCATTCAGTCATTCTTTCACTGAGTTCTGAGTGTGAAATAGGGCTTCTGTTGCACATCTGTATCCCGTTTAGTTCTCTGTCATCGGTCCCAAATGGTTCTATGAAGGCCTAGTTATTCTTCAAATGATCTCCATATCAGTCCAGAATATTTTCCCATAAAAATTCTTTCAGAAGGCCTAGTGTGCATTTTCAGTCAGTGCTGTCTTAAGCATATGTCCGATTCTTCACCAGTTCCGTCTGCATATTTATTGGAAGATAGTCTGATGGTTGATTCGTTATCTGCCAGAATTCCTTGCTGTTTATCCTTTCCGCCCAGCCGTCTGATCTTTGAGTAGAAATGGCTATTAATGAAAATCCGCTGCTCATTTGAAGTGCCTTCGCTGGTACACTTTCTAAGTCACTGTGGAATAAAGAAGCATTGCTTTTACATTGGCATTGGATATTTAGATATTGTTATTCGTGTTGAGAGTAGTGAACATCTGTCTTACTTTCCTGATACGATCGCTACTGATTTTAATATCCTCATTTGTACTACTTGTAGCTGAAACTATGCCGCCTATTCAGAGAAATGAAAGAGACGACTTCCTCCGTACTTCTCAAATTATTGTTGTCGACAGTTGGGCATCTTTATCACCTGTTTCCTGTAGGCTCCTGTCTTTGCTGCTTCTTCTACTGACCTATTGGTTTTCACTTGTACATTTCTGAGTTTGTGAGACACGAGATATTAAGGAATGATTTAACTAGAAGCAACGTGAAAGGGAAAATTTGTTCAAATTTATGCTAACAGACTGAATTAAATTCACGACAGAATTGAAACTACAGCACATATTATAACAAAAAGAATCCTGAAAGCTAGCGGGCGTTGTCGTAGAATAAACGTAGCACCTCAAAAAACCATCTGATGTGTGATTTTTATGTTTATGAACACAGCTTTTTTAAAATATTTGGAACTCCTAAAAGTGCCTTTTATCTGATATATGATGAACGTATAAACGTCCACTTTGTGATGATTTTATGTGGTTGTGTGTTTTTGCTAAGGCTAACTGTATTACATTACAAGGAAAATAAAAATATAGAATTCATACTATGTAGAAAACTTCATATTCTAAAAAATGACAGTTCGGTCGGGGCCGTCGAGAGCTTCATAGGAACTCGAAGTAGGAAGTCTGTGAACTAACATTGCAGCTTTTAGCACTAGTGATACTGTTATATTAATCTTGTTTCAGCGTATCAAAAGAGGATTTGTAGCATTATTCTAAGCTAAATTGTTTCATTGGTTATGCAGACCAGAATTATCTAATTACAAAATGCTCATTTGCCATCCAGAGCTAAAAATACGCTTTCTTTATATGCTTACAGTCTAAGGGATATTCAGAGCAAAATAAGCTGCATCTCGCTTGAATTTACATATTCATATAGCTCGAGCTTTCATAGCTGACAGAAAGTAAAGACAAGATTTAAAAGTTATTCATTTTAAGAAGCGCCAATTGCGTAGAATATTACTTTTGGCAAATGAATATGTGAAACATCACTGATGTAAGCTTAATTGTTGCACCTTCTAACTTGTTACGATCTAACTCAGTAGCTGAGGTTATTTCGCCTACCGCCAAAAGTGCTCGATGATTTAATCGTTTGTTACTTTTGTATTCATTATGCAATTTCTTCTACATAACTTACTAGATGGGCTATTTTAATTTAGGCTTAGAAGCGATTTTAACACATTGTCATTGTCATAATCTCTTAGGATCTTTCATATAGGGAAATGTGATTAGTGAATTTCGTAGGATGTGATTCAATACGATACAAAATAATCACTTCTGTCAACAATTAAGTTAAAGGAAACTTGGATTTATCACCAATTAAATAAAAAATATGTTTTTAGCTTCCTTATCGCTGTTATGAGTGTATATGAATTTAAACATGACTATCTGAGTAAAATTTCTGCAATAAAAAAAACTGTGGCACTCATCATTGAGTAAATTTCATTTCATTTCAATTTCTTAGTTCTTGTGGTATGAAACGACTTTTCGGTATTAACAATAGTTCCGTTTTTATAAACTACTATCCGAACTTATTATTATTGTATCCTTTAATTCCTAGAGGAACATAGGGCTTCAGCCGTGCGTCTCCATTGCGTTCGGTTCTCTGCTACAGTCTTCACCTGGCTCCAAGTCTGCCCACACGTTTTCATCTCCTTTTCACATGACCTCCTCCAAGTCACTCTCCCAATGACGACCAACTCTCCGCTTCCCTTTCGGTTTCCACTCGACCAATGGCTTGTCTAGTGATGTCACTTGATGCATTGTTTCCTCAGATTATGGCCAATCCATCTCCATTTCTTCCTGCTTTTTTGTTGCACAATCGGTTCCTGGTTGGTTTGTTCCCAGAGATCCCTGTTGCTGATCTTTTCTGGCCATCTGATCTTGAGTATTGAGCGAAGACAACTGTTAATGAAGGTCTGTAGTTTGTTTGAGATGCTTTTTATGACGCGCTGGCCAAGTCTCTGATCCGTATAGTAGCACTGACTTCACATTGGAGTTGAAAATCGGGTTCTTATTTTTGATGCTGAGTGCTGTTGACCTCCACACAGACTTGAGAGTAGTGAAAGCTTGTGTTGCTTTTCCGGTTCTTGCTTTGATATCCTCGCCAGTTCCACCTGTAGTTGAAACAAAGCTCCCCAGGTAGGTAAAAGAGGTTGTTTCTTCCAGGTTCCTTCCATTTATGCTGATTGTTGTCAGTTGTTGTTGTTGTTGCTGTTGGTGGTGTTGCCCAGGAATTTTCATCACCCCTGTCTTCTCGATGTTCACCTGAAGTCCTATCTTTGATGCTTCTTCTGCCAACTTGTTGCTTTTCGCTTGCATACCTTCCAGTTTGTGGGAAATCAGACATATATCATCGGCAAAGTCCAGATCCTCCAAGAGTTTTGTGTGAGTCCATTTTATGCCTGTTTTCTCATTGCCCGCTGTTTGTCGCATTATCCAGTTTACTGCAATCAGGAAAATCATTGGCGATAGTAGGCAGCCAGCTTGTCTTACTCCTGTCTTCACTTCGAAGGATTCCGTAAGTTTCCCGTTGTGGATTACTTGGCATGCAGCATTGTCGTACAGCTGTTGGATGAGATGTATAATTGTCGGTGGCACCCCGTAGTAGCGAAGTAGTTGCCAAATCACCTCTCGATCGACGCTGTCGAAGGCCTTTTCAAAGTCGATGAAGTTGAGATAGAGAGGTAACTGCCATTCCAAGCTTTGGTATACAGAACAAAATAAAAGTGTTTTCGTAGTGTCAACCACTTGCAGTTGATTATCGGTCACACTGTCAGTCTGTGACCAAATCGTTTGACTGCTATTATCTTTCACTGCAATTTTAGCTTTGACTAATCAATAAAAGTAAAAATAGTTACTTATTTTGAATGTCTCGCCAAACTCTGCAACGCTTTCTAACAAGAACTTATTTTCGTCCAGTTTTCACGCAGTTGTTGAAAAGTGTTTAGAAATCGTATATCCTTTGACATACTTAAGTCAGTTAAGAGTATTTAAATGCATAGTGTTTACCGGCAAACATATTTCAACAAACATAGTTCCTCTTTAGCTGTTGATACAGTTTTGAGAAAGATTATCGCCTATGCAGCACAACACATCCTCCCAATATGTACTAACTAACAGGCGTTAATCTCACCGACTGATATATCTGCCTAGTCAAAACATTCATTAGGTCATCTCTCCTTTGTTCATTTTCACTAGAATTATGATGGAAGACACACGTTGTAAAGACATTGGCCTTCATAGTACTACTCTCAAAAACAGGATAACTTATCAGAATCAAAAAAGAGCAGATAGTTAAGAAGTTGTATTTACTTTCTTTAAATAAATGCTGAGATCTTTATTTCATTTCATTTCTAAATTTAACATATAAATAACAATACAGTGGAATGATTATCTTCTGTTAATCCACTCTATAGTGACAAGTTTTAACTAGTGCAGCTCATTTTAATCCGCATAACCTTAGTGTAACATCCGTGGCACATTAAGACGCCTACATCTGGTTCATTTGTGAAAATATAAGTAACAGTGTAACGCATTGTGTAGTAACGGTGCCTAATACACCAGTAAGATGACTTGATTTTACTGTTATTATCTATTGGTCATTATCACCATCTATATTAATAATACGGTTAATCACCATCTCATTCACTCATTTAGTCCGCTAAAACTGAGTCCCTTAAACAATGAAGTAATTATTTGTGCATACAAAAATATTTTGATAATGAAAAAACCTATGACTTAGCAGTCAATTGGTTATTTTTATGACAACAGTAGGTCTCTCCGAAACATTTTCAGTTCTAAGCAATCAGGAAAGCCCTCAACATAGAAATGCAGGTGTAAAATCAGTGGTTTGTTTCGGCAAAAATGAAAAGGTTTTCTAAAATTAAGGAAAGGATAATGAATACTTCTTATTGGTTGTTCTGTTAACCAATAGTATTTGAGAAAACAAATTATAGTTAATGGGAATTATTTTCTGAAACATAACTGCTTTTAAAGAGTAAAAGTGTTGTCGTAACAGTTTTCTTATCTGGATATGACGACGGCAATGCACTGTAACACGATTTTTGCAAATAGCTTTTGGACCTCATATTTATGATCAAATATAAATTGTTTATTGTATTAACTCGATTAATTATTCACATACCTTTTGTTTTCAACAATGTATATTCCAACGATCACCTGGTATATTCAGGAGCCTGCAGTCAATATGATACAGGATTTTGCTCACGACAAGTAGAAAACAGTATTTGTAATCATGTGAAAAACGAATGCTTCTGTCGCAAAGGTTTTGTAGCCATACGGGAAAATGGCAGAGTTACATGCAAAACACGTAAGTTTTCTCTACAAATCAATAATTCTCCTATATAAATTCTAAGTAAAGCATATAACATTAAAACACAGCGCATGAATAGAATATTTTTTAAATATAAAATTACGGAAGGATAAAAACTACACACATATCGTGTATATTAGAAAAGGAACACTGATTATGAAATAAGAAAGAGTTGAATATGGTTGCGGTAATTTGAATTAAGGCATTTATCTTTCTCTATCCTAACGTATTACTGACTTAATCCTCGAATGGTTTGTCTTAAACAGCAGTTAAAATATTCAAAATCCATCATCGACATCACTAAAATGATTTTAGATTTTTAGAATAAAATAGAATTAAAGTACGCTAACATTTTAGTTTTGCACTGGACTACAGATTTCCTTGATAGAACAGATAACAGTGAGGGAGAAAGCACATAACTGACCATCAGTTTACTCCATTCGTGAATTTAGTTGTAGGATGTTCTTTATTGTATTTCTAAGTGTGCAACAAAACTAAATCGCTAGACAAAAATTAAAATTCATTTGTCAAAAAAGAAAACAAAATTGCTAAGGAATTCACTAACAGCTGCTTTCATCACTTTAATGACCCAGGTCTATAAGTTGTACGAGATGACGAAATCATAGCCCATGATGATTCGGTGAATAAACAGTCAACAATGTGGACTTCATTACTTACCAGAATAAACCAACTGTAGACATATACTGCCATTTTTCAAATTCAAAGCACAAACTGTCAATCGGATTGCCTTAATTCTAATATTCATTAAAAAAGAAGAAAAAACGCGTCCTCTCTTGAAAACATTCATGCCACTGTTACCTCTGACGTATTTTGTTTCAGAATATAACTCACTAACTTTAAAAGTCAAAAGGTACTTTCGAAGTAATAATGTTTCAACACGAACCCTATGGTAATGCAAAAATTTATAAATTAAAAATGTTAGGAAATAGAGGAAAGAGTTAAAGCCAGACATTAGTTTGACTCAAGTTGTTTCCGGTTGTCCACATCGTCTGTAAACTAATAAACATGTATATAACATAAATATTTGTTATGGATTCGCATATTTATCAACGCTGAAATGAGGCTTATTTGTGTTAATTTTGTAAGGATTCTGTACGGAACGTACAGCTGGTAAACAGTTAACTTTAAGTAACTAATAATGCAGCATTTTGTCCTGTCTCAAATAATCCAGACATTCTGGTGTGGAAAAAAAATCATACTGCAGATAAGGTTTCTAAATAATTAAATCAGTACATCACTTTAAAACGAATAATGTATGAAAATAATAGAACTTTTAAGAAAGCACTCAATCGTCACGTCTTCACTACTACTCTACACATTTAATAGATTTGATATGAAAATAAGTCGTGAACAACTATGAAGCATTCAATTTTTAAATGAAGCACAGCAGAGTGAAAACCTGCTCAACAAAGATGAGCAAGGAAGAGGAAACACAGAGTCCGTGAAATGTGCTAATACACTTATATATATATATATACATATATATACCTAAAATGGTGACTATCACTAAAAAGTAGCTACACATTTGTCTACAGGAAACCATGATAAATTCTTGAAGGTTTAATAATTAAGGAGAAATCTAACTTTTTACGTAACTTTAATTGTTTTCTACATACAGTATAGTTTTCTCCTGTCTCATGTAAAATTATCTGCTGATATTTTTCATCTTCCTTAGAAACTTGCGAATTTTTCCAAAAAATGTAATTAGATATTTTTGTTGTTGCCAATTTTCAACTAAAAATGATCCTACGTAAGAGTAGATGTGATATGACATGATTATGAGGCATAAGTTGCGCTTGAAACATCCTCCAGTTATCAGCCCTGCATCATTCTCCGTATTTTATCAAATAAACTAATCTAACATGGAATTAAATTATCATATTCCTATCTAGAAATGTTGATTCAAACACTTTAGTGTGAAAGTAATCTGCTATCTGTTGTAAGGTTAGTTGGCTTGGTTTAGCTTTAGTCCCTTTATGAACAGTTGAGGGAATATTTATTTTGGAATAAACTGAGGCATCCATGCTTGCAATAGGTGGGATTTGCGCTTACAGATAGCCAACATGTCAATGTCCAACTCATAACATATGACAGTTTTTAATCAGTGGATTTTCCGCTACCAACGAAGAACTGAAGTCACAGGTAACTAGGAGTAAAATCAGTTCTCTAATTGCTGTGCTTCATCTTTTATGCAATGAGGACCCTATAATGAAGATGAAAGTGTGATTTAGTTTGCACATTAGGAAAACTAATCCCCTTACCTAATCTTACAGTTATTTCATTAGAAATGTGCAAATCATTCATAAAGAAATAAGGGTGAAATTTAATCAGTATTCTCATATTTAACAGAAATAACCGAACATTCTGAACCTGTGAATGACGCTACATAACATATAAACTGAACGAACGAGTAACCATCACATCTTCAAAGTATGATAAGTCAGACTACTCTTTTCGTCTCACGACTTCAGTAGGATAAGTATTTCAAAAATGAAACTTGTAGCTCTGAAGAACTTTCTCTCATGGCATTCAAATAACAAAAGTAGCAATGATACACATAGAAATTCCTTATTAACAAAACTGGAAAAGTGAATTGAAACAACTACACTAACCGATCACCTCAGCATGATAGTGGGAGGGTAAATTTTGTTGAAAATGTTAACTACTGTATATTACTGTATCCCTATAAGTTATATCAAATAAGTCTATTTAATATAAAAATGCTATCCAACTGCAGTGCTCTAGTTGAACACTAAATTTTTAAGAGGAAAAGTGTAGTTTACTTGAAAATGGGCCTTGCACATTAATTAATGAAGAGTACTCTTCAGGCCCTAAGGTCATGCAAACTAGCAACTGTCATCACACAACCAAGAGCATTTCATGTAATCTATTTGAGGTATATGTATAATGACTCACAGTTTTTTTCGTACACCGGATAATCGATTATTTCAGCGCGATGACACTACACAATTAGCCAGTGTCAACTTTTATTGTGGTCAGCGTGTAGAATGATAGCAGTACTTTTAGTATGATAAAAGAAGCTGCAAATAGTTGAAATGTTGCTAAAACACCGAACTAAAAACAGTTGCAATTAAATCTGCTAGTAAATAATTTTCTCCAACTAGCCGAACAGCGATAAAATCATAATTATAAGTTAATATTACTTATAATGAGAAACGCATAATAAAGACAAGTGAGAAAGGCAAAATCAACAACGCTAATTGATCAACTAAAATTAATTACATCTCCATGAGTTGACTGCATAAACCTCAGAATGTGTAATGCAAATTTTCGATCACTTAATGCTGTGTAGATGATGAATTTCAACTCTAAGTTGACTAGAATCCTGTGGAAAAGCAGTTTTATAACGCTGAAAGAAGCAGTAAAGCTGAAATCGTAGCAAAACTACTAACTTTCATCATTGAGGTTGTGGGCAGTTGATAATACACCGAAGAAAAATAAAATGGATCTGTTTTGTCCTGTTTCACGTGTTCTTATTGCTCTGTTCAAATTGATTTTTTATACAACTGAACTTGAAATTTTCCTCATACGCTTGTTTGGCAGTACAATTATGCCACAGCTATATTTAAGTTTGTAGAATTAATTAAAGATTTGTAACATTTTGAATGTGATTATTTAGTTTATATTCTCCTGTTATGATTATTTTCATGTAAATAAATTTAACTGAACTCCGTTAACTGGGATTATTTCATTTACATCTATAAACTAATCAAAGAAGAAATTCTGAGTAACTTAAGGTATTTTACTTCTTTTTCAGTACTCACCGACCTAAAATGTCGAGTAGATCGTGACTGTGTACATGTCAATCGAAGCAGCTGTCATCCTGGTGCTGGCTACTGTTCCTGTCCTGGAAGTACTATATATGTCCCTGAGAGACATGCATGTAGTAAGTAAAGGTTGAAAATAACTTATATTCGTTGACTGATGCGATAATGTTTTCTACACATTTGTGAATTTTATTGAATATAATAACAGGACAATGTTTGTGATACTCTTATTTAACTCTTTCACACTAATATGAAGGTACTCAGTGATATTTTCCCCTAGGAAAATTCACTGGAAAAATATGTTATCACCTTTGTCGTGCCAATGTTTTATTTTGGTGCACAGTCGATTTTAAAATACAGGCAAATATTCTGTGTTAGAGTGAACATGAATTCTCCCTACAAATGACTTTATTGTTATGGAAGAAGATAGAAAAACGAAAGATCCATACTACCAAAGCAGTAGCTTCAAGCAACAAGTATTATTCAGTCTCAGACGAATAGACAATTTATCGGAGGGTCTGCGCTATAAAACTTACTGCATAAGCCATACTTAACTTTAAGCCAGCATTACCATTTCATTAAATTCCGTACATTACAAACAATTCTTAAACTGTCGATGGCTTACTCTGGTTTTACGTCGTCTTCATCACATACAACTCTTTATGCATTTCCTAATGCAACATAAGTTTATTCATTAACATTTCAAAAGACCTAAGCCTGTGTGAAATTAATGTGAAGTGAGTTAAGCAAAACAATTAATAGAACAGGATAATGATACTTAAATAGAATTCGATAAGTTTTCGTGATAGCATCACTAGATCATTACACTAGTTACTGACTAGTGTGCATCAAAATAGCATGTAAATTTGTTAAATAGCTCTCCCACTATATGTTCACTCCTGAAACAGTTTACAGTAGAAATGATGCTACAGGTTTCTAACTCTAAATTTGTGAACATTATGCAAGCAGAAGACGTATGCATATGTACGTATATGTTTACAGGTAAAGTTGAGTACGAACGCTTTATTTCCACAAAAATGAGTACTGTTTACAGACTACGAAAGTGTTTATTAAACTGTTTCTATGATTCATAAATCGTCATTATAAATATGTAAAGTATGAGAAGAGCAATAATTAATTATATGTTGTCGCAGCTGAAGATTTCTAATTTTTTGTCAGAATAAGCGAGCGTAACACATGTCATGCAATAGGTAAGAAGAGATTTTAGGCCTTTATAACACATGGCTTGCATACATAAATGACCAAACATGCCTTGTTTTTTACACAAGATAAGCATATTAACAGTGCACGCAACTCTTCTGTAGAGGAAAAGGAAAATAAGCAATAAGTAGTCTTTCTCAAGTAGTGTTGAGTCACAACTCAACAACAGTAAGCCTTATATCTCCTAGCCACTTGTTATTTTATTTTTTTTTGTAAAGGAGAAATATTCCACTCTGTAATCCATTTTATCTAGGTCATAAAATAGTTAAGCATTAATCGTTATCACAATAATCAAGAGAATTTTAAGTGTTGCTTCAACTTTTCACTTACTTTATCATGTATAATTTCTTTTAATAAAGGGTCAAGATTTGTTTATCCAAATGATCCGATTTGTGATGCTTGTATTCAGCTGAAAGGAACATGCTACAAATATGAAGCATTTGATAAATTCACTGTTGATCAAAGGTAAGCTGAATAGTCTACACCATTAAAACTCATTCCAGCTTGATTCTATGTGTAAACACTATTGTTTTATAAATTTGTGATCATTTTCGTGCTCAGGAAGCAGCGCAAATCAGCATTTATGACATGATTTATTTAGTTTGACTGATACTAAAGGTAACTGAAAATGTTGCGCCATTCTTACATAAACTTTGCCTAATAGTCACTAGGATTTATAAAGGTCTTAAGTAATTTCAATAGTTCAATGGTTTCATCACTAAATCTGGAACAAAACTTTGGATACAGTTGCGATCTAAACTGATACTTTCACTATCTCATCTAACTTAAGGTCACTCTGCATAAAACGGTTCCACCAGAACAAATTTATATTACAAACAAATTACCCATTCCTATTTCTAAATAAATGTCATCTAGTGGTGAAGGCGGGTTGTATCAGTATCTGTCAACAAATATTACTATCCTAGCGCTGTGTCACACAACTTGTAGTCAGGCCACAGTCTCATCGTAGGCATTACTGATTCAAATCCTACCGAGATTCAAACTCTCCTTCACTTGCATTCACCACCTACTATATCACTGTCAGTCTGCATTAAGACATCATTGTCTGGGAAAATGCTTTCAAACGTGAAGCAGTATTTACAAGAGAAAACATTTAGATTCATTGGCATTTATTCTTGAGTAGTTTTCTTTAAGTTGCAAATTAGTAAAACATCATTATATAAGTGAGGAAAATCCTATGGCTTATCAGCTTCCTTCAAAGAAAAGAAAATTGCTGATTTACACATTTATACATTTTTCCTTTCGAAGACAATCTTTCATGTAGTTTTACCCCAGAAATTCAAAATGGTAAACTGAATTATCTTTCTGTATATCAAATATGGTATGAATTTCATTGGACCCAAACATCCTGCATCATCTAATAGTAGGAACAGTGGCTTTGTTTTTTACGAGGTCAGTATAAATTATCAAATTTCTAGCATTGGGTAAACAATATAGGCTGCTAGTGTCCGATTTTTGTAGATAAGACAATCAAGTGATAAATGTGAAAGGAATCTGATACTGTTTTATATTTATTCTGTTTATTAGTTTTTTAATCCTAATTACACTATCAAGGAGACCATGTTTCACTTTTAAAGTTATTGGTCTATTGTACATCGTTGTTCACATATGAACTGTCAAGAAACGTCATTTAGTAAATTTTCTAATATGCCTTACACTGAAGAAAAGAAAATTAACTGATACTTTTGGATGTTGTGTAGTTGGATCAATTGGCAGTGAGTAATGACGTCGCTTTCATCATGAATTTCAAAGGGGCTTCAAAATCTTCCAAACCTACATATAAATATGACTTTTTTCACTTTCATAATAATCCTTACACAGATTTAGGGGGAAAGTGGTTTCATTTCAGTTATTTTCACTGATAGTTCCTTGATTGTTTGATAAAGTGCAAAGAGAAATTTATTCAAACGAAATGTCAACCATTTATTAGGAAACATAGTTTTTGGAATATTCTCTCTGCCAAATGGTTTACCTGAGACGGTATTGTTGTTCTCCCAGACAACAACCTCACTGTTAACTTTGAGGTAAAGTGAGATTTCTGAAGTTGGATTTACTGTGTAGGTGAGACACTAGAGATATTTGTAAGAAATGGTATAGTATGCACTCACTACTTGAGCAGTAGCGTTTTCTAAGACATCAGGCTTACATGCTACGAAAAACTAAACAGTCAAACTATTTTATGATGTCTTTACAAGAAGGCAAGCCCAGAAACATTAGCAGCATAAGTACAGAGGGGGTTAGCCCACAGAGACCAAGTATATAATCAAAAATCCAAACACTAAAACAAAAGATGCTGTATGCCAAAAGATGCCAAAACGAATTAAGAAAGTTAAAGTTCTGATGTACTTCTGTCCTAAAGAAAATAAAAGATGTTCACGTATTTCCATTAAAAGATGTTCACACTGAAATGAATGACCAACGCCAAACGATCCTCTGATACTGAAAGGAAATTAGTTCTATCATACATGGACGCTATTAAAATCACTCCCAGAATACGAAGAACCTGTGAAATGCATCTCGCTACAAGCCAACACAGTTAATACTTTGAACAATCTAAACCAACTTTTAATAGCCAAAACCAACATCACCTAAAAGATAAATTGCATCAAACGTACAAACGTTATATAAGCCAGAGTAAACATTCCCATAATATTTGCATCTATGAACAAAAGCTATTGCCTAAAAAAATGACGTCGATTCCTGGATCAGAGAGAATACTAGCACTGCCAGAGAATTTTTAGAAGTTTAATACTCCGATAAACTCGTAATTATTAAATTTGTTGATGTAAATGTTTATTAGTCAAAAATAAGCTGGTTACGTGGTAAACATTTTCAATATTAGAACAATGAGGTAGCTGATACAGATAAAAAGGAATACACTATTTTCTCTGAAGATAAACAATTATAAGGAAGACTATCAGGAAACGTGCTCAGATCATTCATGAAAAACCTCAAAAAAAGTACAATGCATTCTGGAGTTTGTGCTGAAGATATTATACTGAGACTTTCCTAACCACTTTATTCAGCTAACAGAATACAATACTGTCAAAAACAAGCAACTGAACGACAAGAAGGTTTCTGTTTGAACTAAAAACTAAGTGTGACTAAAGATAGGAATTTATCTTTCAAAATTTACAGGTCACGTAGACTAGGATATTGAAAATAGCGCTATCTTTTCAGGGTTATTTGATGAAAGAACATCCTGTTGAATATTCTATTACGTATGACGTTTTACTCATTTGATTAAGTGAATAATAGCCAACCCTTGACTTCAACATATGTATATATATGCATGAAACTTCACCCCGAGACTAACTTCAGCACATATTTTCTTAACTATTTTATGGGGTGAGAATAGGTTAACAAGTACGGAAGCAAACTTTCATTTTAATTGTTAAAGTGTGATAATGCTTTAATTTTGCAACGCGTGACTAGTAGCTACAATAATCACCGGAAAATAGAGAGCATAATTCTCTGCTGTAAAACTTTTAAAATATTTCTTAGAAATCCGCTGTGGGTAGAAAAGTCAGTTTTTACCAGATTTAATTGGGCCGAAATTTCTTTATCAAAGGCTACTATCCCTTTCATATAAATAATCTCTGTCGTTCTACTGAACACACCCTCTTCACACAGATTATTTAGATGACTAATCAGTCAGTGCTACTATACGGATCAGAGACTTGCACTGCGCGTCATAAAGAGCATCTCAAACAAACTACAGACCTTCATTAACAGCTATCTTCGCTCAATACTCAATATCAGATGGCCAGAAAAGATAAGCAACAGAGATCTCTGGGAACAAACCAACCAGGAACCGATTGTGAAACAAATAAGCAGGAAGAAATGGAGGTGGATTGGCCATACTCTGAGGAAACCATCAAGTGACATCACTAGACAAGCCATTGCTCGAGTGGAACCCAAAAGGGAAGCGGCGAGTTGGTCGTCAGTGCAAGGGTGACTTGGAGGAGGTCATGTGAAGAGGAGATGAAAACGTGTGGACAGACTTGGAGCCAGGTGAAGACTCTAGCAGAGAACCGAACGCAATGGAGACGCACGGCTGAAGCCCTATGTTCCTCTGGGAATTAAAGGAAACAATAATTATAATAATCAGAATGTATCCCTACTGTATGGGCTGAAGTGTTTATAGTGTTGAGCAGAAAGGCTCTATTTAAGACTGTGTGAAATGTCTTCGCAGATACTTTTTGGCTCATTTCAGTGGCTAATTGTTTTGCGTAAATTTAGTTTTTTAAAAACATTTTGTGTAAAAATCCTGTCTTAACTTCATATTGTTAACGACCAGTGGAAGTTATAAGTGATGTCATAAATTACGGTTAATGTGTTGAGGTGCATACTGTAGAGGTAATGGATTGTTGTTCCTACCCATCTACCAGTTAGGTCCAGTAGTCCTGTCACTTAATAGCCATTTTGGACTCATTGATCGCATCACTGTGACTTTGTCTACCCTCAGATATATTAGTAAATAATTGAGGAAGCAGTGATAAAATATTATAAAACTGAAGTATAGGCGAAACGTTACTCATTATGGTTCAAGTTCTACTTCCCTAATTCTAATATCCTCTAAAAATACAGCGGAAAGTACATATTGTTATGCATTTTAAAGGATGCGTCTAAAAATACTCTTCTGTCACGATTAGACTTCATATAATCTGTATACAAATGACAATAAATATTGCAGATAATATTAAATTAGAAAATGAATAATTTTCTTCGTTTAATTGGTTGAAAAATATTACTTATAATGACTCAAATTCACCTTGACCCTAAGAAAGGAAGCAGAAAAATAAGAATGAGATTTTTAATCCAAGATAGTTCATTTCATTAATGATATTGAGTTTAGGGTAAATACATTCAATTTAGCAATATTCAATCTGATGAGACAAAAAACAATATATATTCCTTTATGAACTGAGTGAGGTGGATATGGCTGAAAGTTTTAGTAATTGATAGTAATGTTGTTTAGAACAAATGACCTGTTCAGTAACTTCTACTTTTACCAAAACATCCATTAAAGTACAAGTTGAAAAGAGTCAAGGGTGAGTGAAATCATGTTGCCTGTCAAATTCAACCTTATTTCATTAGATGTATAGTTACAGATTATGTTGCCATTTGATATTAGTACTGAGGAAATCACTCACACATCTGGTGAGATGAAGACAATCATAAATTATAACTCAGAGTACAATAAATAGTGGTAACCTCTACAAATCTATGTGAAGTGAAAATAATGTCTGACAGGTGGTATTAGAAATACTTTAATGTTCACACCTGCAAAATGTGTCGAGATGTATGTAATATTTTCAAACGTTACTATCGAAATAGTATTTTGTTTCCGTATTTCACCTATCAGTAGATCACACAAAATAGCATATAAACTGTTAATACGACTGCATTAAGAGGGTCAACGCCATCAATATTTCAGGGATGAACAAAGCCGACAGAATTTCCGTCCTGCAGACTGTAACACGACAATCAAAGTGCCAAATCTCACTGTTGCATTTCAAAAATTTAGCAAAAGTTCCCATCTAAACATTTAGAAGACGACAAATTGCACGAAGAAGTAAATAATTCCAACTAGCTAATTATATAGGATTATGGGAGTGCTTTCATAGTTGTCGAAAACTTTGTCATCGGATAAGGCAAAATAGACTGTTTGTCGCTTCATTATGTGTAAGAAATTCTTCATGTAGGACCGAATTATACTTTCTACCAATATTGTATTCAATATGAAGACAAGTGTGTACAACTGACAGTCCACTTACCATCTTTCTCCAAATTATTAACTATAAACAAAGTACTGAATTTCCACCCTATAAAGCTGGGTTACTTGTATTAAATCACTCGTACTAGCAAATCTAAGCTTTGGATTAGAATACGATCAACGGTTGACTACGTTATCTGAGTAAACAAACTACGACGAGAACCATTTTATGAGGACTGAGTGGAAAAACGGTCATCAAAATAATAATGTTCGCTAAAACGGTCATGTTCTGTATGAGTTGAATTTCACTCAGATCCGTTTGTTAGGTTGCTACTTTACTGCACTCTGTGACAGTAAACGGAATAATTACTACAGCTATTGACACAAAGAATTTGTTTAGATGAAATAATTTTGTGATTTCCTCTATATGCCTAGACAGGCCTGTGATAAACTCTTTTAACTAATAAGAATTAAGTAATTTTATGATTTCGACGTCCCTATGAATACTATACAGACTTAAAATCTTCAGTGTCAAACACTTACAGGCGAATTCAAAGAGAATGCCCCTGATAATTACCTCATGTTTATGTTCTCATAGAATTTTCTTTTTAAAGAATGATTTGTCAAAAGAAAGAAATTAATTTCTCACAGTAAAATATGCCACTGGAATTGTTTGTCACATGATTGTGAATGTGATTTCATATATTTCACACCCGCAAATTATTGAATTTGAGAGGTGGAGTTTGTTTAGAACAAACAACAAGGATAACAAACAATTTTCTGAAACACTGTCATCAGCCAGAAACGACTGCGGAACCATGAATCATCTGGGCTATTTTAATTCACAAAATGTCGCATTTCATCTTGAAGTACATTCACCTCCTGGTTAGCTAGAGACAAGGAATTCTGCGAATGTTTAAACTTTCTTGTAGCCAGTAATAGTAAATTATTAGGACTGATATACCTCCGTCATTTCAGTCGATCTAAATTCTCTTAATACTACGGAAGAAGAAAATTACAAGAAATGAGAGACGACTTTCGAAATAATTCAGTAAACTCATTATTAGCCTGGAATAGCCTTGGGATTTCAGACTGTTGTCAACGTACCAGGTGATGACTGAAGATGAAGTGAAAATATACTTCACGAAAGCTGTTAGAGTCGATTTCAGGAAACCTGGAATCATGCTATGACCAAAATTCTTTATTTGTTTGTCTAGATCTATAAATACTGAGCATTTAATGAATGCTGAATTTCTTATTTAGAACTTTAAAATTCTTCTCTAGGCTAGATAAAAATTTAGAACTCATCAATTTAACTTTTGTTGTGTATTTCAGAATTAATCCTAACGGAGTTGGTTGTGTTTGCCCAGATCACCGAGTGTCTATTAGCACACGATCAGCTGACCCACTGAAATATATGTGTGATGGAAAATTAGGTAAGTTTGTTACTCAGTATGATCTTCAAATGAAGTTAATAAATGTATGGCGTTTACCTAGTTCAAATACTTATGAAACCAACTAATTTAGCATAATCCTGTAAAATATATCTTTGCTGATATTATACTTCATAAAACCCTATGAGTTCAACATTAGTAAATTCGATTATTTAGCTCATTTTGATAGTCAACATTACTGCTTCGTATTGACTATGGAAAAACTAACTGCCTTATATATTACGCTTAGTCTTTACATTCATGCATGTAAAAAATACTGTATTTTAAAATGTCTGACGAAAATAACTGCACTTAGCTGTCTGAAGAAGTTTATAAATTTATGATTCCTGGTGACAGTATGTCCATTCCTGCAGTCTACTCAGATTTCAATGGTGAATCAGTGAAAAAAAAGAAAAACTAACACCTAACATCTGAGAATAAGGTATTCATTTGACCTTTTGAACTCTTCTACTAAAATTCTTTCTGATAACTATCATAACTTTCGTAAACTTGCTGTTAGTTCGTAACACTCGTTCACTAATTTATCTTTTTCTGATTCTAATTCATGAAGAAAGATCCCGACGTGCCATACTGTTTATAACAGTGGCTTGACAGATGAGGAACTTTGAACTCCGTCGGCTTAAAAAATCAGTCCTTGATCTGGAGAATATCTAGTCTAATATTTACTTTTCCGGTGTTCAGCATATTGTAGCAAACGATTCACCCTACTTTTAAAAATAATAAAACAAATTATGTAGTTCATGTCGAACAGTTGCACGTCTTCTTGGACTTGTATACCATTGAAAACAAACAGACCACAAATAAATTACACATTTTTGGAAAAAATTTCCCACCATAAGGTCAAGAAGTTATGTATTCAAGCTGTAAAGCCTAAAAGGCGTCAATTTTTGAAGTGATATGACACATTTATTTTTCCTAAACTAATCAGGAACAAAGAAAAAGAAAGTTCTTACTGGTTCTTTTAAAAAATGTACAGGAGACCGATGGCGATTTTTTTCAAACTGCTGACACTAAAACCGCTTTCAGCTACCATTAATGGCAAATGTGACGTTTATCTGATGTTATCTGATCTTTAAGAGCCTAAATATTAGATCTGTGATATTCTTACCGTATAAGGCGAATAGATTTATTGTCAAGCACAACAAAATTCAGATTTTCAATACAAACGTCAAGTCAGTTATTCTATACGGATCAGAAACTTGGCGGGTCAAAAAGAACATTTCCAACAGCCTGTTGCAGACCTTTATCAACAGCTGTCTTCGTTCTTTACTGAAGATCAGATGGCCGGAAAGAATCACCAACAAGAAACTATGAGGACAAACAAAACAGGAACCAATCGCTCAACAAATATGCAGGAGAAAAGGGAGATGGATTGGACACTCGCTGAGGAGGCCGCTGGGTGACATCGCGCGCCAGGCCATAGCTCGAGTGAACCCGAAAGGGAAGCGGCGAGTGGGACGTCCAAGGGTGACATGGAGGAGATCGTGTGAAGAGGAGTTGAAACAGTATGGACTAACATGAATGCAGATGAAAAGTACAGCAGAAGACAGAAACAAGTGGAGACGTGCAGTTGAAGCCCTATGTTCCACTAGGAACCCAAGGGAACAATAATAATAATAATACAACGCTTACATGTACCAAAAATGCCATTCTGGCAGGTAATAGGTTTATGTTACATAACCAAAATAATTTTTAATTGGTGAACTGTCATTTATTCACTAATACAAACGGATTTCCACTGAATAACGGAAGCCATTATATAGTGATATCGCAATGAGTCAAACTGATGAAAAGAAATAAGATCTTTGGGTGTGTTGTGACGCGATGCTATTATTAAAGGCATATGTGTTATATTTGAAATAAAATAAATTATTCCATAAATTTATTCCCGAATTATATTTGAAAGATGTGACATTTTATCTGAAAGTGATTTACCTAAGAATAATACTCATGAATAGACAATAAAATATTTTTATGTAAAACAAGTGCACTATAAAACACCAGAAGAAGCGTAAACCTGTATACTGATGATACTAATCCCATCAGTGACCTCTGCAGGTCACAGGCTATCATGTCTGCTAAGCGTAAAATCATCTGCGTTAGTTTTATTATACACACATATCATTAAACCTCTGCTGTTCTCCTTGAATGAAGAATGACCAATGTTTATGTATTTTAGATGAAAATTAAATTACAATAAGACGCAATTATTCTTAAAATGTTTATTCTATTAAAGTTGATATAGGATCAGAATGTGATGATGAATCACATTTTTGTCGTTCAATGAATTCAATTTGTAAACCTGTACAGGAAGACCTAGCGTTAACCTCTGTTCATTTACACGGGGTTAAAAGTAATTTATGGTCAGAGAACCTCTCAAGTGGAGATCGTTCTCGTAGATATCAAATTATACGAACTTGTCAATGCAAACCTGGATCATTATCTGTATATCAGACTAACTTAAAATACAATGAATGTTGTAAGTCATAAAAAATTTCTATTTTGTTGACTTTTTATGAAATTAATGTTTTGATATTGCTCAGACTTATGCGAACACAATTTTTACGTCCTACTGCAAAGTATTTCTATCATACGAAAGTAATGTTGTAGTTGGATGAGGTAGTCATGACAAAATTTGTGAATAATAGCTCAAGTAAAAATGTTATGAGGTTAGAAAATGCTTTAGAAACCATCGAAGTGGTTATTTAATAAAGGCTTACATGGTACACTGAATATTATCTTCTAAATTCCACTTTTACAGAGTAAAATATACTACAGTTGACGCAAATTATATATATATTTACTAGTTGATTGGTAGAAGCTAGAATTCATGAGCCATTGAATCAGGTCCCAGTGGCTGAATGGTATACGAGCTTGCCTTGTGACCGGAAGGTCCAGGGTTCGAACTTCAGTAGGTGCGTACTGCCGATGATTCCCAAACTAGGATAAAACAGCTGTCCAGTACTCCATGGTTTTCAATGGTTCTCTAACTGATATCAATCCGTGATCAACTCGTAAAAACAAAACTAATCCTTACAAACCAACTAAATAAATATATTTACCACTGAATAGGAATAATAGCTGATTTCACATTCTGGGAAAAAGTATTATTGGGTTTTATATTATACAACGGAATCATTTATAGGAATATAAAGTTTTCAGAAGGCATCTGAGCGATTCAGCTCAAAATGCTATTTGAAATCCTTACGAATACAAGTGGAGTGTCTTCAAAATGAAATCGTTCATCAACTGAAAAATCTTTCTGTTGTTACTTCTTGGCATAAAACAGTAATAAAGATTAGTTTTGTATATATATATTATGCATATATAAATGTATATATACATATCATATTTTACTAACAGGAAAAAGTAGTAAACTTTTGAAAGCGAGTTACGATTCTTCGAAAACATTCAGTGTGTCCAGGATTGAGATATTTTTTCAACACAATTGACAATAACAAAATACTAGTGGTTTGTTAAAATTTTACCAACGATGAAGTCCGTCATAAGGAAATTATACGTATTTTTAATATATTTTCAGTGTAGAATAACAAATAGTTGTGTTCACTATGAACAATAAGATAGAGATGTGTGGAAATATTTTTTGAAAAGAATATTTATGTTAAATGAATATATATGTGAACAAAACACCTTTGTCATTGTGAAATTATGTTAGCTTGATGAGAAAAAAGTAAATTTGAAGACCATGACTTGAAGCAGTAACAGCCTACTGTTGATTTATCCAGAAGACTCAGTAAAATAGCAGTGCTACAGAGAATTAATTTGACTAAGAAATCCCATAAAAGATTTGGGTGTCGGTGACTTTTGCTTGTCAAAAGGGATCTAGAAGGCTTTCTTAATCCAGTTAAGAATAGAATAACCAGTGATGTATACTTACCATGAAAGAAGCAAATATGAATCAACCTTTACTAATATGGTAACAAAACTTTGTGCCAAGATTGATGTTATAGACTATCTTCAGTGCAGAAAGTGTTCAGTATGTAAGGAAACTGAGCGATTAAACATTTTTTGACAAATGATTTTCTGTTGACCGACAAAACTATTAAGTATTTGTCAAAGTTTGACACAGTACACATTGAAAGTTGATATCCACATAACTTCAAGGAAACTTCAGAGATTTTTTCAAAGTTAATATGATGTTTGAGTCATCCAGGAATTAAATTCAGCTACAGCCGAATTAAGTATGAAAGCGTTTGATGAATTCCATTGTGCATTAGGGATTTAACAACAACTGATGACTTCATACCAGGTTTATTAAGGAACTAACTCAACAAGAAAATCACTCAGTCATTTTAGAGTGAACTGTATTTATTGCTTAATAATCTCTAAGATTCCAAATTGCTGCAGTAGGCTAAAAAGCTAAGTGGATTGAAAACCGGGTTTCAACCTACCATTAATTCACATATTTGAGCTGTAAAACTTTAAACCATAGGAATTTTCTGCTACTTCCAACATCAAAGTGAATTTTATGTCAGACTGAACCAAATATTTGCAAAATACTCAGAAAAAGGAAAAACTTTTGTGAAGTTTCTTTATGAATAAAAAAAATATTTAAATGATAGTGCAGAATCTGTTTTGCACCATAAATGATGTGACAAATGCTAAAATTATAATCGTAACGTGAGTAATACTGATTTATATGAGGAAACATAATCTCTTCGACCTGGAAATTTTTTATAATTTATCAAAACAACAGAACGACTATTTATCCGCCATATATTGAGCTTACGTAGACTACGTCCTGAAATTAAACATGTTCTAGGTAAATTTGCTTAGACAACGATCTATCTGTAGAGTGTAATCGAAGTATTAGAAGCCTGTAGGCTATTCTCAAGTTAACTCACTAGTACATTCCAGAAGCTTTAGAAAAACGCACAACTTTTGCAGTTAAGTACCTACACTCACAAGGGTCCTGTATTACTAGCAGTGAAAAGAATATCTAGTGAGGTGGGGTCATGCTAACAAAATTTGAAAGAAAAATGTAACAAAAAACAATACATGAATCACTAATGCTTTTGCGAAGCACATCGTGGTGTGAATCAACTGTTTTCCGCATTAAGAAATGAAAAAACGAAGTACTTTCATGTTATGCTCGCTGAATATCGGGATTAGTACACAATATTTGACAGGAAGTGCATCTAAATTACAAATAAAAACTTTCAGACCGAATAAAAGTAGAGAAACTAAACGGTATTGTAATTATTTTTAAAAAATTCAATAAAGTTTTATTCCGCTTACTTGTTACCGTCTGAAAAGTCATTCGGTTCATTTGCATAAAAGAACTAGCATAGCTGTGTTAAGCAGAACTGATTTACTGTGCAAAGTTTGGCGTAGATTGTTTGTTTTTGCTCACTGAACTTACATGCATAAAACGTAGTCACCTTTTTCATACCTTTACTCAATACTACAGTTAAAATCCTACCTATGAAGGCGAAACGTTGTCAGAAATGTGTCGATACAGGAGGTCAATGTTATGATTTGAATGATGACGGTACAGGTGATGGCTGTGAGTGTCCACCAAGTCTTTCACCAATTGTATTCGGAAAAGATAATTCCGAAATCTATTGTGGAATGGCCCATGGTAAGTCTAATCACTTGTTCTTTTTAGATTATCTAATTTACCTTCACCACATGTAACGGTAATTTACAATAACTTCACCGGAAACTCAAGTTAAGACAACCAAGTGATTTATGCTGAAATCGTTCTATTTATATTGTTCTCTAACTTGTTTAGATAACAGTTCACCAGAGTTTGAAGTGCAGTCATGTCATTTGGAAACTGTTCGAATCAGTCTGACCAACAAACTCAGAACTGAACGTTGCACAGCTTGCCATCTAGTCAATAATCCCTCTCTTCTTAAATACCTTTATTAGTGGTCATCATGAAGTGTACACTGCTTTTTTCAGCAGATAAGCTGATATAGCTAATAAACGGCTATTCACCTGATGAAATAGGATTCTAAATTGATCCGACATACACAACATGATAAAGAAGTGCAGTGTGAAGTAACAGGATATCTATTAAAGCAATGATTGCAGATAATCTTTCCGTCTTCCTCCTTTCAGAGATCACGTTATTTTATTTTTAACTTTCGTGCAGCAGTCTTGAAAGCTTTTATACTGAGATAACTAATCTTGAGTCACTGATTAGAATCCTAAACATGCTTTATCTTTTTTTGTTACGTTAGCGTCCGTGGTAAAAATCTGAAATGAACCGAAGTAATACTCGAGGAGAATAAAAGCCTTCTAACTTAGTTATATGAGCTTCAGTTAAATGTTATTTGCGATACAGACACATATAAACATATATAAACGGCTTCCATAAAATTAATTTAAATATTTTAGTTTGTTAAATAATCTATTTGTTTGGAGGGTTAGGTAATGCGAACAGGGCATTTTTGCTTTCATGTTTGAAATCTAAGTTTTTCCAGAAGTTAAAATCAACTTTTACTACTATTGTTATTCCTTACTTTTAGTTTCTGTTAATTGTACGAATGGACATTTTGGTGTTTGTTATTATCCGCATACTTATGGACCATACAGCAATTTATATGAAGACTTGATTAATCAACGTTCTGTGGTCCGGTTAGCATCGGATAATTATTTTATACAACCGCTTTTACTTCACACTGTTAACTCTGTTCCCAATGATAAAAATGATACATATCATTACTCAGATTCTGAAGATCAATGTTCGCTGAAGGTAGAAAACAAGACAGTGGTTACAGAAAGTGCTTATATAGAAGATTCTATACCATACGGTAATTATCACTCCACCACTGGTCAGAAGAAGAGATTTTGTTTGAACATCGATGTTTGGCGAAGACATAGTCTATGCGGTATTAGATTATATAAATTAAGTGTAAGTTTTTCACTATTATTAATATGTTTATATAACATTTCTAGACTGTGGATAAAAATTCTTATTAATAAAGACTACATAAAAGATAAAAGTACTTGTGTAAACAAACTTGGATTGTAATGTTTTGCCGTTTATCAACATTTTCGTACTAACTTGAAAACTAACGGTCTCAAAACTTCATCTTAACAAAAATGACGTATTCTACAGGTGTTAAATATAATAAGAATGTAATTAAATTACCAGAAGTATCGAATATGTGTGATTGAAAGCAAAAAATCTGAATACGAACTTGTTTCTGTGGAGGGAGAGAGAGAGTGAAAAATGACCTTATCATTTCATAAAGACATTTGTAGTATTAAAATGTTAGTTAGCAGGGATTTGAATGGTTACAGGAGCTCATCATGAGCTGAGATCGGTTAGTGAACCACTGGAGGCAGTACATTTGTAGTTATCACATCTTCAAATGTTTAAGAAAACGGGAATGTGAGGGGGAAAGTAACTCGTAGCTCTTACTCTGGAGTCATTTTTCTATGAGCGAGTACCAGTAAAATCGACTATCATCGATTTATTGTTCAAATATCATGGGGAATTGAAAAAGAATCCGATTTCTTTTATTATGTGGTTAGTATTTTCAAAATACTAAGGCCCTAAGTTAACATATCCCAGCCTCATGAGTCAGTAATTTCACCCTTTTGTATTGAAATTCTTTTTATATTCCTAACAATTTTGAAATGAATGTAAATGAAGCCATTGATAAATACGTGATCTTAATGAATGATTCCTCGAAGAAAACTGAATATGGCCAAATTTCAGTAGTAAATATAATCATAAGTACTACAACACTTGTGTAGGGTTGGGTCCTGTGGTGTTTATTACACGCTATAATTTATTGGTAACGAATAGCTTATACGAGACCAAATTGGGTAGATCTGCATATGGTGGAAAAGGTTTCAAGAGTCTCGTTATCAGTGGAATCCAGGATTCACATTTAGTCCTGTTTCGGATTTGTTATCTGGATGTGCCTGAATTCCCCATTGAGTGAAAGTGTTCTCACTGAGGCAAATATCCAATAGCCATTGTTCCAGAGGTCAAAGAGTCATCTTCTAGACCACTTCAGCCACGAGAGCCAAACAGCATTTCTCCATAAGTTTAAGGTGGCTAATTTAAGTTTTTCCATTACCTTGTTTTCGTAGAAACTTTATTTATCATCTTCTCAAGTTGTAATGGAGTTACTCATAGAAGAAAGCGAATGAATTTCATATATCACTTATTATTTTCAAAGAAGAACAATTCTGTGCAGTTTTATATTTCAGAACCAAATAAATATTGTTATGAAGAAGACTAAACCATCATTGTCGGCGTATTTAGCTTGAAACTCTTTTAATTTAACTACCTCTTCATAATTTTAACACAAAATAATTTTGATGTGAATATAAGTGATAGTTTTTTTTAATCGCAAATAATAAATAGTAAATCCGATGCAGTCGACTATCCTATGCGGAAGAAGCACGTTTTATGACTTTAAAATGATGGGTTTGAGTTTACCTGCTAGTCATTAAAGTTAATTGTTCAGTGAACAATCACACATTTACGCAAATGCATATTCACACACAGACATAACTGCTTATCTCAACAATAGCTGTAATTATAAAACTCCTCACAAAATTAATATTTTTCGTGAAATTTGGATTCATTTTCACGATTAAATAAATAAATAAATACGAAAAAGTATTCTCCTTTAAAACTATTTATAAAAGTATTATTCGTAATAAATCATATTTTATTACACTCAGATATATATACTAAAATACATTTGACCGTAAACTAGCTGGAATGTATGTCTTAGTGAGAATTCCTGTTCAGCATAACAGTAAGCTAAAATGATTTGGCGGTAGGTGGCTAATTCTACAAACATACTGATTATTCCAGCCTGAAATAACCAAACTACTACCTGACGTCCAGATCACCTTGTTCTGACTAGCACAGCGTACTCCTGTTGTGATCAAGTGCTAACCACTCATGACAATGTGATGTTAATATTGAATTACTTTCATGGTAGTATTGTAGGCTATGTTTATGAAGTTGTGGTCCAAATAATTTGGTTTCCCAAGCAAGTCGTAATCAGAATTCATTTTACACTGTGTACTCCGTAGAAATTGTATTCATTAGATTTTCATATCCTTATAAAATACGTAGTCAATCAGTACTGGGCGAGGAAACGATTATAATTAATCCAGTATACCATTTTTCCAGCAAGTATCACTAGTGCTTATCATTAAGCACAGATATTCAGTTACGTTTCAAATAATGTTATGTCCAACTTTTTGTTCAAAAAATTATATAGCTGAATAATTTACTAAGATAAAAAGATTCTCCTCATATTATAGTAACTAGGCTAAGCAATAATGTACCCAGATACAGTTTTTACTCAAATTCGTTACTAGTATTTATCACAAGTGCATGCAGTTTTAATGCGATCTCTGGAAGTATTTGAAATCTTCTAGTTTATAGAGCTTAGCCAGCCTAACACCTGAGTGATGTGGTTTAAACGCACATTAAATCATCAGCCTTAGGTCTACACTGTGTAAAATCAGGCCAAAAACCCAGAGGGTCCTAGGTTCGAACCCTGGTGGGTGCGTACTGCCGAAGAGTCCCGAACTAAGACGAAATAGCCGTCCAGTACTCCCAGGTTTTCCAATGATTCTCTAACCGATGTCGGCTCATAATGAAATCGTGTAACCAATCAATCAAATCCCTACAAACCAATGTTTGATAATATTGAAATCATCCAGAAAAATTTCAGAAATCACAAAGAAAGTCTAAAATCAGAAGCACTTCATATCAAATGGAATCCAAATTGTCTGAATAGGAATGATGGATTAAAACAGAATTTCGCCTGTTTTATAACACTCCCCTCTCCCATGAAATAACAAAATCAACACGAATGTGATAAGCACTTTCGTTATGCAAACGCATTCTATTTTTATAATTTCATGTGCTTATCGAATCCAACAATCTACACATGGTTTTTTATCTTTATCAACTGACCAACGTGATAATGTGAAAATTATCTTTTGCTAAAGAATCATGAATAATTCACTTACTGTATATAAGCTGAGATTTTGGAAGTTGTGGTTTCGGAATGCTTTGATAGAGCTATTAGTGTTAGATAGCGAAACGTCAGTAAAAACATTATTATTTGCTTTCTCATTAATTGGGTAATACAGAAACTTCTATAATAATAAATATCACGTACCCAGTGCCCAAATGTTTTCAAACTTTTAAACGTGAACATGATGTGGACGCATATAAAGATCACCGTGATTTATAAAATTAAATTATCCTGTAACAAAAGTGTCATTACAAGATAAAAAGACAACAAAGAAACGTATTTTCCATTATGTCCTTTACAATTATGTGTGCAACTTGGAAATGCCATTGAGACAAACAAAAGAAAGGGCGGCAAGTGAATAGTCCATTTCCAGGTGTACCATATATATATATTCTTTCCAATAATTTCTCTTCAGGTTCTTACAGTTATAAAATATAATATTTGTTATCGTTACAATAGTAGCCAGTTATGCGCCGGATACATTTTTTACGTAGAATAACAGATTAGTTATGGGGTGTCAAAATAAATAGTAGTATTTTTGTGACAAACGTGCTAGGCTGAAATCTACAACAAAATTTTGTAAAATGGGAGACAGTGGTGGTGATTAGTCATCATAGATTTGTGTAGTGTGGGGTAGGAAAATTGACAAGTCAGTTCAAGGTTATAAAAGGTGTCAGGTGAGTGGCTAGTACAAAGTGGTATGTATTAAAGGGGAGATGTAAGACTGCAATAACAGCTTCATGATGAAATAGCGAATGTATGAAATGAAACAGGTGGAGGCGTATACTGAGAAAGGGGATAGTATCATTAAAACTAAATCTGGATAGTATAAATGGAAAATTCAATGGTATTGAGAGAATGTTTGCAGGAAGGGTATAAATTATGACGAATAATAATAATTGTAATAATAAGCAAACGAAGGACCTATTTTAGCGAACATTTTCTAGCAAAACTAGAAAATAGTCCGTTGAAAGATGAAACAACAAAAATGGAAATGTATTGTCGTTACATGGATGACACTTTTGTAGTTTGCAATGAAGGGTTAAGTAGTGATTTGATTTTGAGCAACTTCAGTGTTGCTTACCTAGCAGTCCATTTCACCCACGAAGGAGAATACAAGGAGACTCTCTACACTTCCTTGACGTCATGCTAACGAGACGAGAGGATGGTTCCGTCATAAGAACCATATTTGGAAAGCTAGAGACCTAAGCCAAGTATATACGCTTCCTTAGCTTCGTAACGATGACATACAAACGTAATCTGATCAGGTGCTTAGCATTTAGATTGAGATCTATATATTCCGAAAATTGTGTGGTGAAGGAACTCCAAGTCATCCGAGACATTCTAAGCGAGAAGCTCATTAGAGCCAACATTGGTTACAATAGCGGTAAATATAAACTGTAAACGGTGGAGAAAAAGCCTCTGTTTTTACGTCTACAATTCAAGGGAGATATACCTGCATAGATTCTATCAAAACGTTTAACCAGGGCGATAAAGAAAACTTTCTACTCTGCACGTCTGTTCCTACCCTTCAGTAGCCGTCCAATGTTCATCCAGCAACTCAAAGATGTCTTACCTAACCTTATCTCTTCTTCAAGCATATACCACTTCAACTGTTCTTATGGTTCAAGTAATATAGGGCACACGATTAGGCACGTTCGTTTACGAGTTCGAGAACATTTACCAGCTTGGTTCAGTAGGGGGGAATTTAAGTGCATAAAACATCGATCCTGTCACACATGGTCGATACTGGATATCGATCGACGTCAACACAGCTTTCAGGGTTATATACCGAATTCCGAGGTCGTTGTCACGTACAGTTTGCATACGTCTTCTACACATAGCTGAAGCAATCGCAATAAGATCGACTAAACCGGAACTTTGCATCCAAAAAGAACACGTCCAGATGCTGTTCCTACCGTGGTCAAACTTCGATTATTGATTCTTCTTATCACCAAGAGTGCTTCTTCCCCTTAACCCTCTTGGTTTTTTTCTTCCTTTGCTTATTATTACAATTATTATTATTCGTCATAATTTATACCCTTCATGCAAACATTCTCTCAATACCATTGAATTTTCCATTTATACTATCCAGATTTAGTTTTAATGATACTATCCCCTTTCTCAGTATACGCCTCCACCTGTTTCATTTCATACATTCGCTATTTCATCATGAAGCTGTTATTGCAGTCTTACTATCTCCCCTTTAATACATACCACTTTGTACTAGCCACTCACCTGACACCTTTTATAACCTTGAACTGACTTGTCAATTTTCCTACCCCACACTACACAAATCTATGATGACTAATCACCACCACTGTCTCCCATTTTACAAAATTTTGTTGTAGATTTCAGCCTAGCACGTTTGTCACAAAAATACTACTATTTATTTTGACACCCCATAACTAATCTGTTATTCTACGTAAAAAATGTATCCGGCGCATAACTGGCTATTATTGTAACGATAAGAAATATTATATTTTATAATTGTAAGAACCTAAAGAGAAATTATTGAAAAGAGTATATATATATGGTACACCTGGGGAGTGATGTCGCTGGAAATGGGCCTTTCACTTGACGCCGTTTCTTTTATTTGTCTCAATGGCGTTTCCAATTTGCACAAATAAGGAAATAATGGAAAATACTTTTCCTTGTTTTCTTTTTATCATGTGATGACACTTTCGTTAAAGGATAATTTAATTTTATAAATCACGGTGATCAGCGTATGCGTCCACATCATGTTCACGTTTAAAAGTTTGAAAACATTTGGGCACTGGGTACGTGATATTTATTATTATAGAAGTTTCTGTATTACCCAATTAATGAGAAAGCAAATAATAATGTTTTTACTGACGTTTCGCTATCTAACACTAATAGCTCTATCAAAACATTCCGAAACCACAACTTCCAAAATCTCAGCTTATATACAGTAAGTGAATTATTCATGATTCTTTAGCAAAAGATAATTTTCACGTTATCACGTTGGTCAGTTGATAAAGATAAAAAACCATGTGTAGATTGTTGGATTCGATAAGCATATGAAATTATAAAAATAGAATACGTTTGCATAACGAAAGTGCTTATCACATTCGTGTTGATTTTGTTATTTCATGGGAGAGGGGAGTGTTATAAAACAGGTGAAATTCTGTTTTAATCCATCATTCCTATTCAGACAATTTGGATTCCATTTGATATGAAGTGTTTCTGATTTTGGACTTCTTTTGTGATTTCTGAAATTTTTCTGGATGATTTCAATATTGCATGGAGGATTTCATTACGAGCTGACATCAGTTAGAGAAGCACTGGTAAATCTGGGAGCACTGGACAGCTATCTTTGTAACCACAACAAATATTATATTTTATAATTGTAAGAAGCTGAAGAGAAATTATTCAAAAGAATATCGTTTGTTCAGATTGACTTTTAATATATATATGTATGTATAAATTATCCTAGCAACAAAAGAAATGCTCCTAAGATATGTCATCATAATCATAAGTTTTACATAACTGTTATATAACAAACAAATCATTAAACCTATCTCAATTTCTACTGAGTAACGCTTTCGGCATTTCGCAATAGTTATCTGATACTTACAATTCTATAGACACATCTTTGGAAGCATTCTTTCTGTTGCCAAGTTATGTGTGCATAATATTTAAAGAGCGTGCGTCTGTGGCATAGCGGTTAGGACGCTCGCCGACCATGTACATGTCCCGGTGTTCGATCCCCGCCTGACGCACCCCTCTACCTCGCTAAGCCAGAAATAATACTGGTGAAGAGGAAAGGTTGGGAATGAGGCTAGCAACTCCATCCTTTAAAATAAACACTGCTACAGGAACTTCAAGCCCTTAGCTTGAAGCCCTATGCTCCACTGGGGAACGTGAAAGATAAAAAAAATATTTAAAGAGCAGTTGTCACTGACATTGTATCAAAGCATTATTATATTTTGTCATCTGCGTTCCCTATTTAGAACCACTTTAAGTGATGTAAAAGACAATATTGATTTCAGTTGTAAGCATTCATAAATCATAATTCCCTTTTTAAATTTGAATTTGAAATCCATTACCTACATATTATCTTACTTATCAGCTGACTGACCTTTTGTATGCATTTATATTGCAGTCAATATCAACAGCATTTTGGCTTAAGCATTCGCCTTCTAACCGACAGATTATAAGTTCGAGTCCCACTCTGCCGACTTTAGCATTGGAACGGAAAAGTATAATCAACCCTCACATGATAAGTTTGGCTCATAGTCTGCCGCAGCAAAGTTTGTCCAGAGTAACTAAGTTCTAGCTAACTAACTAATATAAATAACCAACTAATTAACTGCCTTGCTCTACTCTTTTCAGTTTCGTTAAAACTTACTTCACTTAGCTTAATAAATTGTTAGTTATACTAGCGTTTTTTGTTATGGGTTCACGTTAGCAGAATTTAAAAATAATTTGTTCGATTAGTTAACTGACTTATTCGTATGTGGCATTTGAATTCACTACTTTCGTTTCCTGTAACATAATTTGTCAATGAATAAAAATACTTTAGTTGATATCAAAGTCTTGTTACACAATTATCCTCAGTTAACTCATACTTATTTCACTGGAATATCTAACAACAAATTCTTGTTTTTGCATTATAGCATGATACTGTACAATACGAGGGAATTTTAGAAGTTCTTATCAATAATGCCATGCGCACTCCCAGCAGAGATAAAATTATTCCGCTTAAATGTATCTCTAGAACACCTATTAGGCCAATGATTCAAGAAAGCGGGTAAGTATTTGTTCTATTTACAGCTGTCATTAAATTATATAAAATAGACAAACACCGAGGAGAAATGCTAACGCATTGTAGGTGTAGGTGCAGGTGTGTACTGAAAGACCACGATAAATTGAGATTTCACAGCCTGTTTTTCTGCTGATGACTTTTAAATATTTTGGAAACTGAGCAAAAATTTATCTCTGCACATGTACGAAATATAAATAAAATATGCTCACCAGACCATGTTGTATAAATACAGAAAATAAATCTCAAAAAAACAGTAAACCTTATTTTATAAGGGATTCAGTCAAACTACTGCTTGGACATACAGAGGCTAATCAGAAAAGAAGCTGACATGTTCTATTCAAATTCATTTTGAAAAAAACGGCTGCAATCTATTTTATTCGTCGAAATGGCATTGGTGAATCCGAGACAGTTAACCAGTGACATTTATTCATGCTCAGTAATCTGGTGAATGTTTTTTGTACTCACATGAGATCAGTTAACTAAACAGAGTGATAAACGTAATTCCATAACTTCCTAGAAATCCAAATATCACTTAAAGAGATATTTTTAGTTCTGTTTGTGTACATAAATTATGCTAAATAGAGAGAGAGGTATACTAAAATGAAGTTTTCTGTCAAATTAATGTCTAGAAATAACGTGACTTATACTGATAACTTGAAGTGTATAAATATATATCAAACAAAAATAGTTCAGTTTCTTAATTATTATTGAGCTAATAAATCGTTTGTCTTGTTTTTTTATTATTAAGTTACATGGTTATGTTTGCCACTAATCGGATAAAACATATTGCCTGTTCTATTCAACAGAATTTCACAGACAACTGGTACACTGATGAATCCATTAGAGGCTTCAACACGTCCACTGATAAGTTTGCGTATACTGAGTGAAAACAATAAAGAAATCATTACAGCATTTGTTGGTTTACGCATACGCTTGGATGCATTGTTGCTTTATCCCTCAGGCGAGTGTTGTATGACAATATACTTTTTGATTAAATTATGTAAAATTAGATCATATCATAGGAAGAGGTCAAACATAAATAATGAATCAGTCACGCTCACCGATTCAGATAATTTTCTAAGATCAAGCACGAGTCTTCATGTCATCATTTTTGTAAGCATGAATTAGAAGAAGTATATTTTCAAAATGTAACCAGGCAACATAATCGCCAAATATGTAAACTGTTGTTAAGGTATGGAGTAATAATATAATAAAAATATATTCCGCAATTCATACATAATATACGCGTATTTCTGTCGTATTATTAGGACAGTATAAAGTTTTTCTGGATGATATGAGTATAAAAGAAATGTTATTGTAAACTGCTTGAGTAACTGTTCAAAGCGAAAGCAATAGTGGATTTTACACAGTGGATTTATCTAGTGAATGCAAGTATTTAGACAGCCTCTCATATAGTGTAGACACTTGAAGTAAGGACCTTGTCAAGTGTGTCTGTCTGATGAATCACCATCGCAGCGAACTCATTATACAGATGAATAATAAACTTTTCACTGTTCACAAATGTTCAATAAAACCGATTTGTTTTGCTGTATAAGAATATGAACTGGGAGGCATGACCGAATGTTGTCACTTCATGAAATAATTTATTTGACACTGGAGAAGAGGATTCAAAATCATCTGATGAATACATTTGAAGCATTACTTATAATCAAGCTGACTATTTTTTGACAGTTTTACTATCCATTTGAATGAAAGAATTAGTGTTTAAGTGCATTTATGTTATCTCTGTTTTATATGCCAGGCATTGAATATATGGACAACCATGTAATAAGTAATTCATCTCGACACCTATTTGTATTTGGTTTCTCTGTCGAACTTTGTAGTGTAACAGTGACTTGCTGGGATAATAGCAGTTCATCAGTTTTTCTGTATGCAACTGTTGCCTGGTTGAACCCACCTGCTAAGCTATTCAAATATACTAGAATCAGTGTGTTCAAATACTAGTCTACTCGTCATCCTGTGTCTTTTAAATGACTTAACAACATGTCTTATACCATTATCCTTGAATCAGATTGACCTAATAATCACTGTAAGTGACGTCAAAGTAACTGCAATGGATATCGCACATAGGACTATGTTTTACAAGTGGGTGAAAGGATTTTATGCGTCTATACCTGTTTTACGATGAGTGTGTCGATTCTGAATGTCATCATTACGCTGGCTTTACTGAAGTGTTTCGAGTACTTGTTTCTAATACAACGACATTATCAAAGCCTCAAAATTATGTTTCTTAGACGTGAATCCACGTGACCGACTTTACCATTGATTTACCACTTGGACCACTACGATCACTTGCAAGCCTGTCTATTTTTGAGTGTTAGGACTTTAGAGGCTGACATTCTATAATATAGACTACATTAACATTTTAAATGCAACCAACAGGTCTACTTGAAAGTGTCCGGCAATAGCGATTTTCCAGTGAGCACTAATACAACTTTATCTAACGTTTGTTCTAGCTCGTCAAGATTCCATCCTCCTTTTTTGACTTTTAGTAGCTTTTATGTCACTGATATCGATAGTAATAACTTGTTCTCATATTATATGTTCAGTTAGGTTTGTTACCTCACCATGGTAGAAACTACACATTAATTTATGCGTGAAATTGTGAATTCAAATTAAGTTACCTTTTATATTCATGGTGAATCTTTTATCCAGGGCCCTACAAAACTATTGCTGCTGAATACTGTTATGGCAATAACAGGTCTATATATTCGGAGCAGTTGGCACGTGAAACAGGCGTATTGCTAATAGACCAAAGGTGGGTTTCTTGATACTTCACTGTTTCCGTTTCATTAAAGTACAAACTAAACATTTTTTACTTCTACAAATGTTTACACAATTCGATGTATCATTAAACTGCAGTAAACAGTATTATGAAAAGCGAAATGTGTACTTAATTTAACTTAAAATTCAACAGTTTTGTGTTTCTACTGAAATTAACTAGACAGCCAAACATATATTTTGAAATTTCTAGACTGATAAACAGTTTTAAGAAACTTACTTTTGCGTAGAATACAATGACTGCTCGTCTGATGTGTTTTCAGACAAGAGATATGTTCAGAATTAACAGAAGTAGACTTCGATACACGCTATCTAGTTGTGTGTATACTGTCACTATCAAAAGATGATACCATCAGTCACTTACCAATGACACCAGTATTGTTACTTGAATTACAGAAACCAATCATAATATGTTTATTCCTAACCTCTAATCCTAAAGCGGAACTACATAGTTCCTATACAAACGCCTTTGAAAAGGCATTGAGTATTTGTAGATGAACCTGAAGGTTTTGTGATAGTTACTTAAATGGCTTCTGTAGCCCAGATTTTATAAGGAGAGCTTCAGTGGAAAATTATCTGTCGTCTTCCGTGTGCACCAGTGAAGACAAAAGCTCGAAAAATTCTTCATGAATCTTTAGAAACGTAAATACTGATCTGCTGGATGAGAAAAGCATTACTGTGCTTAACTAAAATTTTTTATTGTTAATTTTTGCATTTCATTTATCTTTACCGTGCTTATGAACCAGCAATCTAGCAACAGAGATGCAAGGATCAAATGTGACCGAATACCTTCATTACTTGACTATTACGCTATAATCCGCTTTTTGTTTGTTTTTTAGGTGTTCAAATAAACAGCCCTTATTAAGTGCAAAATTTTCAAATACCGGTTTATCAAGTGACCACTTGCAGAGTGATATGTTCCCAGCCTTTCGAATGGGTAATATGACTTTGGTATTTTTCACTTGCGTTTTCAGAATATGCCAGTTACCTACAGACTGCGATCAGGTATGCATTTTGAGTTATTACTGGAAAATATTTATCAACATACATATAAAAAACAGGGCTAGTAAAATATGAAGAAAATGTTTATCTTTTCAACTTATTGAGTCTTCAGCCCTCAAATAAATTTTAGCGCCAATTTCTTTTGACTACAAGAACTCAGACAGATAAAAAACTTTGCTTTCATTTGGACTAGACCAAGTATTCGCCAAGCCATCTGCTTTCGCGCATTTTGATGGTGACTTAATTATCTTAAAGTATACTGCTGTTTTCCATAGTAATATTTTTTGTCTTGACTATTTGTGCACATTATACAGCAAACAATCGATGCATTAACCTAAGCAATACGTTGCTCATCAGTCACTTTATACAAACGTCACCGATAATTTCAAAAGATGACAGCAAGGGTGTCACTAAGTTATGCGAGGAATTTTTGAAAATTATCACCACTGCCACACTTAAATGTTTCCTTGGTGTATGAAACAACTAACATTATGGACGTTTATTTTTAATATACAAATAAGATCTTTTTATATCAGACATCAGGTTAAACTTCAGTGCAAGTGATCAACTGTGACAGTACTCATATAACACTTTTATAATTTCGAGACCATTGCATGTTTGTTCTCAAACCACGTCAAAGAATGTTTTCATTTTTCCTCTCTTCTCTTTTCTTCTCCCAATGAAATACTTACACGTAATGCCGAATTAAACTTGTATATTTTAAATTTCTAAAACACTAGACGAATCTTTTAAATTCAGAAAAATTAATTAAGTGTAAGACACGTAATGTTTCAATTCACTGATTAAATATTATTATTACTGGTGTGATTGACTTCACAAGGAAGAACAAAATTTAAATCATACGTAATGTGGTGTTTTACAGAATGTGGTTAAACTTGATAAAACACACACGCACATCAAGGATAAACCTATGCTGAGAAGCCATCTTTGAACTCCTTATTTCATCTATTAATTTTCAAGAAATTATTTCATGCTGTTGAGGATGAAAATACGTTATCTGTCTTAAAAATAAAATAGTAGTCCTTGGTATGAAGAAATGTTTTATTAAATACTGTTACATCCTCGTCAACTGTGATGACTCACAATGCTGTGACTCGACTTGAAGGTTTGTCATTTTGTTTTAATCATTAACTCCAAGCAGCAAATAACTTCCAATAAATTACTTGGAATTTATGATACATTTATCATTTGCATGAGTACACGATCTGATTAAATTGACCATAATAGCTATAAGAAAACAACCCGAAGGTATAATAACAAGCACACGTAAACAGCTCTAATAAGTGATGTTTTTGCTTACAAACAAATAGGCTAGGATAGTAAACAATAAATAATGAAGTAGGCAGAAAAATTAGGTGTCATCTCCCCATATTGTTGTCTCCCTATTCTGCCAATAAATCAAAACATGACTATGAAATAAGTTTAGGCTTGCCAAGCTGTAAAAATTCAAAATGTTTTATGATTAAACAAATACAGGAGAAGTAACAAATTTCTTCTTCACTATGTTGATGAATTCGAATCTCGCTTCATTTCACACAAGGTTCACAAGGAAATAAATTTAGTAAAAGACATACTCAAAAAGAATGTTGCAATTTAACTTATATTTATCCAGTTTAAAAGCTGAGATATTCTCTTTATTACTGGAAGTAATAGTTATCCGCAAAATTAAACCTCCTATGGAGATGTCGGATGACATAATGCTACCTGATGGATTTTATAAAGGAACTTTTTAATGGTGAGCTTATATATTTCTTCACAGTTTTCAATGTCACTTCAGTAGGGCTTCACAATGAAGTGAACTCAACTGAACTTAAATGAAAATTTCAGATGGGTTTCTCTTTCACCTTGTATTAACCTCTTTCCTGCACCATAATTTCAAGTCTCACTTTTTCGGTCAGTGATTGTTTTGTCAATTTTTGACTGGCGATTTTTGGTTCCTCATTGTTATCTATTATTAAGTATACCATCGTTACCTTAATACGAATGACCCCGAAACACTTACTTTTGCACAGATCCTTTCATTCTATAAAACTGGTCTTTATTCATTTTTCTACTTCCAAATAACATCTGTCTGTTACAAGAAAAATAAGGAGGGAACCAAATGGTCATTAATTTAGTGATCTATGAAGTTCCACTTTGATTAAATCCATGAAATTTCTTTCATTGCTTGGCAGTCTATGCGGCTGTATTTGTCAGCTGATATGGGCTTTACTAAATATATTCTGCAATTTATCTGATCTAAGTACCTTAATGGTTCAACTGTTATAAAAAACCATTGAGAAGAAAAGTTGCACAATAAGATTTCTTATTCAGTAAGTAAATAAGCCAACAAAGTATCTCTAGTTTTGTGACCCGACTTCTACAGAAGAATAAATTCAGTCTCTATCATCCCGTTTCCTAGACTTTGTCAAATCGGCTAAGGGAATAGTTGTTTTGCATCAGTATAGCCGTACTGAATTCAGTGGGTTAAAAGTTCCTAAATAACTGTGAGTATGATCAAATTGTGTTAAATAACCTAATTGACAGAATGCCTGTTCTTCTTCTTCTTTCTGCACAAGTTTAAATCAAGACGAAACATTCTAAACATTTTTCTCCGAAGGTTTCTGATGAGTCAGAATATTTAAACGTGTTTTGACAAGTTTTCCAAGTTCGACCACGGATTGACATCAGTTAGAGAACCATTGAAAATCAGGTAGTACTGGACAGCTATTTCGTCCTGGTCTGGAACTCATCGACAGTCCGCACCCACTGTGGTTCGAACCGAAGACCTTCTGGTTACAAGACAAGCTCGTAAACCATTCAGCAACTGGAACCCCACTAAATGGCTCACAAATGCTAATTTTTACTAACTCGTGATTTTAGCGCAACTACTAGCCAGAGTCATAGGCGAGTATTTGTCCTCACTGATGACTGGATGGTCCCCAATGATATTTTAATTAATCTGTTGTCAGTCATTATTTCCACTTACAACGGTGAATAGTTTCACCAGAACGTATCAGACTAGTTACATATTCATATTGCCTTGAAATTTCAGTACAAGGGATTCGTTTTTATTAGTTGGATTCCAACATTAAAAATCTTGGCTCAAGGATATATTCTGAAATGATAAGATCACTGCAATCTTATTTATATTTCTATTGGATTAACTAAATATGCTTATCGCTTTGATCTGATAAGAAATATCATGTTACATACCTGATACTTATATTGATTAAAATTAAAAAGGTGTGAAAAAAGTAGAAAGTATTGTAAATGACAACAAATAATTGTTGCATCCAGAGAGAGAATTGAAGTTGGTGTATTAATTGTAATTGATTAGGCCGTAAAACAACTATGCTCATTTGAGCCTAAAGTTACTTTACCATATATTTGTGATGAAATTTTCATAAGGAAGAAATGAACTGCACGCTTTTATAATTTCTACAAGACGCATTCTTTTCATCTGCAATAAAAATGATAGTCGAAACAGTGGAATCTTTCGTTGTGACATATTAAGCCTTCTGCAGAGTGAATATAACTTGATACAAATATAAGCGGTGAATTCTGCTCAAAACGAGATCAGTGAATAAATGATACTGTATCATTCCGTTTCATCAAACAAAATTATTTTATGATGGAACTTAACTTTACCACAATGCCCAAGTCTACTTTTTCTTGTCAGTCAGCATAATATATCAGAATTCCAAAACTGCACTCCTGTTAAATTCATTTGGTATTTTAAAAGTTATAATCAGTAACTCAGAGCATTGTTTTGTTTTTGTATACTCTGAACTGGTTGGTTTATTTGTGAAGCCTTCATTGTCCTAATACCTAAGCCAGTATCTTGCTTTCGTTTTAATTTAACGGGCCAACTCACTTTGTTCAATTACTTACTCAGAAGTGAGTTGGATTCTATCTAACATTGAGTCTTTATGTGTTTACACATATACTAGGATTTATAGGAAACCTAGACACTCTAATAAACGCTTAAACTTTAGTTCATCCCATCGAGAATCGGTGAAGATGGACTTAGTTAAGTGCCTATATAATCAGGCTAGGAGATTTGAATAACGAGGTCAAACAAATAAAGAAAATATCACTAATGAGTAACTACCCACCGGAATTTATTCAGAAATGTATGAGAACTCATAGGAGAAGTAAGATCAACAATCAAAATGACAAGATTAACAGTAACAATATGGAATTCAAAGCCTCTGTATTACTGCCGTATAAAGAAGAAACATCAGAGGCCTTACGGTGTATTCTCAATGAGGCTGAGATTATGGTAGAATTTAAGCCAACCAACTATCTCAGAGATAAACTCTGTCGGCTTAAGGACCCAATAGATCCAATTAGGAAAAATAATATAATTTACCGAATACAATATAATAACTGTTAAGTCAATTACGTCGGTCGGATACGTAGATCGGCATCAGTTAGATTATCGGAACATAAAAATTTAGCCAGACCCAGGATGATTGGCCTTGCTAAGTTAAATGACCTAGAAAAAACTCAGCTATTGCAATGCATTCACTTGCATGTAATCACAAAATAGGTTGGGTGGGACAAGGTGAATGTACTGAAAAGTAATATAGGTAGGTGGAAACAGGGAGAGGTTATTCACTGAAGTTGAAGTGACGCAACGCCTATCCCGGAGATATTTATTTTATTCCTTTACGTCCCCAGTGGAGCATAGCGTTTCAAGCTAGAGCTCTGAATTCTAGCCTCACATCCAACCTTCCATCTTTATCAGTCTTACTACCGGGGCTTGGCAAGGTTTAGGCATGCATCAGTGGGTGGGGATCGAACCTATGAGGTGCTGTTGGCGAGCATTCTACCGCTGAACCACCGACACACATACTGGAGATATGTAAAGTAGTAACAAACGACAAGGGGAAGGAAGAGACGGAAAAATACGCATTCAAAGCAAATCATGAAGCCGTATGACTAATTGATATGCTTATGAGCAATAACTTATCCTCTAAACATCATCCAGTTATTAA